AAGGATAATAGATATTGACATAAAGGAGAAAAATGATCATTTTGTCTGATAATATAATTGCTTACTGGAAGAAATAATACAAAACAATTAGAACTGAAGATAATTTAGTTGTCAGTTATAAATAAATTAATAAGTAAATACAATTTTCCTCCAAATTCTTCAAAACTTAATAGAAAAATGAAGCAGAAGAAAGGATTTCATTTATCCTAGATACAAATATAAAAACACCTAAAATAAACTTAACATGAATAAATGGAGAAAATACGTTGTTGGATGATATAATTGAATATAATATGCATCTAGGTTAGCCTCAAGATGATATATAAAAATAATGCAATTATTTAAGAATCTCAAAAATAATTTTAAATACAAAAATGTACTATTATGAGATTGGCCAAAATTTCAAACACAACACTAAAGGCTGGCAATAGGCTTTCCCCCATCGTTGGTGGGAACACAAAATGGTACAGCCACTGTGGAATATAGTTTACCAGGTTTTTAAATTAAAATGAATCATATTCTTTTCATAGGATCCAGTGGTTTTTGCTCCTTGGCTTTTACCCAAATGAACTGAAAACTTATGTCCACACAAAGACCTGCACATAGATGTTTATTTATAATTGTCAAACATAGGGCACCACGAAAGTGTCCTTCATTGGGTAAATGGATAAACTGTGGTACATCCATACAGTGGAATCTTACTCAGTACTAAAGAGAAATCAGATATCAAGCCATAACAAGAGGTGATGCAAACTTAAATGCAGATTACTAAGTGAAAGAAGCCAATGTGAAATGGCTTTATACTATGTGATAACATATATATGTGTCTAACTATATGGCATTCTGGAAAAGGCAAAACTCTGGAGACAGTAAATGATCTTGGTTGCCAGAGTTGGTGGAGGGCAGGATGAAAGGCAGAGCATAGAGGATATTTAGAGCAGTGAAACTATTCTGAATGATACCGTGATCTATGCATGTAACAACAAAGCACTCGTACCCCATAAATTTATATTAAAAAACAGAAAAAGGAAAAAAATTTTTGAAATCTCTTATAAAAAGCTTTAAAAATGAGGCCAGGCATGGTGGCTCACATGTGTAATCCCAGCACGTTGGGAGGCTGAGGCAGACGGATCATCTGAGATCATGAGTTCAAGACCAACCTGGCCAACATAGTGAAACCCATCTCTACTAAAAATACAAAAATTAGCCAGGCATGGTGTTGGGCTTCTGTAATCTCAGCTACTTGGGAGGCTTCAGCTACTTGGGAGGCTGAGGCAGAAGAATCACTTGAATCTGGGAGGCAGAGTTTGCAGTGAGCCAAGATCATACCACTGCACTTTAGCTTGGGTGACAGAGTGAGACTTCTTCTCAAAAAAAAAAAAAAAACCTTTAAAAATGAGGATATGAAACAATTTTACAAATGTTTAGCTCTTGTAGCATTGTTTGTAAGAGTAAAAAAGAAAGGAAATATAATTGATATGGATAGATTAAATATATAATTCAATAATAAAAGAAATATAATTTATCAATTATAATTTTTATTGTATAAAGTTTTAGGAAAATAATTATGTTGCCAGAATATGTAATTACTATTCCTTTTTGTAAAACAAACAACAACAAAAAAAAACTAAAATCTAAATACTGTTATCCATGGTTTTAAAAATTATATGTGTGAAGTTTCTATCTTCCTAAGCATATACTACTTTTGTATTAAGTAATTCTGCTATTCATAATTAAAAGCAGTTTTATCTGGCTTAGCTCCTGAGAAGCTAAGTGAGAGCTCTTGAAAAGTTTTAGGTACTCACAGAAGAACTGATGTACCTAAAAGAAATGGTGTTAAAGAAGAAAAAAAATGTATTCATGACCCAGAGATGCTGCTTCATATTACACATGAGAAAGTGGAAAAAAAAAAACACTGAATTATGAGAATTTTGTGAGGTCAATAATATTAACAGGAAAAAAAAAACCCATCATGATTAAAAGGGGTATGTGCCGCCTTTAAATCTGATGCATTGTAGTCTCCAGCATTGGAGTGGGGCCTGGAGTGGGGCCTGGTGGGAGGTGACCAGATCATGGGGGTGGATTTCTCACGAATGGTTTAGTGCCATCCTCTTGATGCTGACCTTGGCCATACTGAGTGAGTTCTCATGAGGTCGGGGTGTTTAAAAGCGTGTGGCACCTCCCCCGCCTTCTCTTGCTCCTGCCTTGGACATGTGATGTGCCTGCTTCCTCTTCACCTCCTGCCATGAGCAAAAGTTCCCTGAGGCCTCCCCGGAAGCCCAGCGGCACCATGCTTGTACAGCCTGCAGAATCATAAGCCAATTGAACCTCTCTTCTTTGTAAAGAAATTACCCAGTCTCAGGTATTTCTCCTGCAAGAACTGCCTAATATAAATCTTAATGGGTATATTTTGTCAATCAAATTTGAGATATAGAAGCTACAATACAATAATATAATATGCATGGTGAAAATTACTTCACATAAATAAGACAATATGTGAAGATACCTCTAATTAAACATTTATATCCAAACGATATCATAGATTTGGGTAAATAGAATACTAGAATATGACAAATAAGTGAATGTATCATTAGAAATTAAGTGTGTCAAGCTTTATTCAAGAGTACTTAGATTAGAAGCAAGCAAGCAAACAGATAGCAGCAGAGTTCATAAAAACCCTGGGATTCTATGCATTCAAGGATAGTATTACTGTCTCATCTTATCACTGATGTTAATTAAGTGCCAATTACTCTCCTCATTCCTATTTAAACCGAGGTTTCATCAATTACTGATTTATGCCACCTGCAGCCTAAATCAAGCAATTCTCTGGCAGCAATCAAGCTTCTGTCTTTTCAAATTCAAAACAATTGTTTCTGCACTGGAAATAGCTGTTTAGGATAGGGCTAGGAATAGGGTGAAGCAAATGAGCTGGTCACCTTGACTTCAAAATTTTAAGGGGCATCAAAAAACTCAGAAATCAAGATACGTGATATTTCAATGCAATTTTAAGAAATTTAAATTAATGCAAATATCTATATTGAACAAAATATCAAGATTTTATATAAATTATTACCTGATTATCATTTATTATAAAGCAGGTAACAAAAATCTATTATTTAAGTTGATAGGTGATCAAATGGCAAAATCAGCAATTTGGCTTCAGTGTTTTATACTGATCTCTTGAAAAATCTTCTGTAATTTAACATTTTTAAACTTGACTTTATGAAAGTTTTAAGAATAAAAAGCAAATGCTTGAGAGACATGTCAAAGCTATTAATTGGTTGATCAAAGTAATAATTTCAACAAATGAATTATTTGACAAGGAAGGTCAAGTTTCAAAATCTACCACAAACAATAACGAAAACAAGACTGACCACCACCTGTCAATCAGTTCTCCAAGTGGCAACAGAATCTAATTAAACTAGTGAATGACTAGAAATATGGGAGCCTTTGAAAACAGTAAAAGGAAAATAAATGAACTTACAGTCACATTATTTTTTAACATTCTGAGAAATGTGTGGTCCATGTATTGCCACCAAACATATATTCATTACTTCAACTGTTGGGGGTTACAAGCCTTGAGTATAACCTATGGTTTGGAATCTGAAATGAAGCTGGGTCAGAGCATGAATCTCTGGCACTAGATCCCAGAGTCCTCTTTCACTTGCTTCAGTTGCTTTCATTTTCGTTAGTTGCTGAAAGAGAAACTGACAGCGGAAGGGTGCATGAGCTAGAGCTGCCAGTGACTGAATGGAGATAGTTCCCTGATTCCTTTCATAAGAAATGTGTGCATAAGTATGTATACAAACACACATGGATAAATATGTGTATGCTCATATAGGCATACATACACACATGCATACATGTATGTCTGCCAATATATGCATACATACACACACTTTATATAGTAAATTATATACTTATATATTTATAAGCACATGACTCAGCATATGTAATTTTTATAAATACAATGTTATATATATGCATACACAACAGGGAAATCTGAAACATAATTTAATAAATTATTTTTAGTTACCATGTCTGTGTGTCTGAATAGTGATAGTATAGCAGTTTTTAAAAGGTCTATCTTTTGGTATATTTGCAGATAAAATTATATGATATCTGGAATTTTTCTACCGATTTTGTGTTAAGCAGGTTAGGTTGAAGTGGCATTACAGATTTAACATGACTGGCTATGGGTTGGTAATTCTTGAAACAGGGAGATGGCAACATAGAAGTTTTGTATACTAGTTTTGGTATCTGTATCTATTTGAAAACATTTATAACATTTTTTAATCAAAAGGATAAAATATTGTTTTACTTCTTTATGTCTGCATTAGTAATATGTTAGCTATTGAATGGGGCTATATCAACAGTGCTTACAGTGGCCGGACCCCGAGCTTACTCACTCACACACCCCTCGCTGCTCAGTGCCCGGGTCACCCTTGGCAGGTGTGAGATCTGAGCCTGTAGTACAAGCCAAGCACAGTCTTCTGGGCCGAGTGGGCCAGACGAGCCCAGTGGGCACAAGCAAAACTCAAGCAGAGACGTCACCAGCCACAGAGGTTTCCGGCTGGCTAAGCAACACCCTGAAGATCCTGTGACAGTGTGATGTTTTCTTACAAGGCAACTTTGATTTTTAAATAACAAAGTTTCCCTATTTGCTTCATCTCTTTTTTTTTTTTTCTTAAATGTGCCATTTACATAGAACTAATAGTAAGATGGGCCCTCTTTTATTCAAACATTAAAGAATGAGGTTGTTAAGAGTATGTGGGTTAATTATACACCATTTCAATTTAATAGCAGCAAATACGCTTTCTGAATCAGCCAGTCACACAAGTGTTATAGGCCGTATGCTCAGATCTGTAAATGATAAGGACAGAGGCTATAATCTTTTCTTAGGTAAAATATTTTCATTCATCTTTGTATGATGTAGATTAGACTCAAAAATATGTCAATCAGCTTATTAAAAACATGCTTCTCATATAAATAGGAAGTTAGAAATGCAGATAGTTTGTTTTTTCACCTCAAATATCACATAATGCCATTTTCATTTTGGGGATGAGATTCCACGGTTAAATCATAAAACTGATACTGCAGAAAATACTTTTCTAGATGTGTTAAATGTATCCAGTGGAGAATGGAAGTGAGGCTGACTAGATAACGTAGTGGGGTCAGCCAGGAATGGTGGCTTACGCCTATAATCCTAGCATTTTAGGAGGCCCCGGCGGGTGGATCACCTGAGATCAGGAGTTGGAGACCAGTCTGGCCAACATGGCGAAACCCCGTCTCTACTAAAAATATAAAAAATTAGCTGCGCATGGTGGTTGGTACCTGTAATCCTTACTCTGGAAGCTGAGGCAGGAGAATCCCTTGAACCTGGGCGGCGGAGGTTGCAGTGAGCTGAGATCTTGCCTTTGCACCCTCCAGCCTGGGCAACAAGAGTGAAACTCCATTTGAAAAAATAAAACAAAAAGAATAAAAAGAAAAGAAACACAGTAGGGCTGGTGGGAGCATGGAGAGTAAAACCTGAATTTTCTCTCTAGGTACTGATAGAGGAATCATTTTGTCTGACCTGTTGTGTTTCTTCAGCCAAAGAGGACATACTGAACAGTTGTATTGATTCGGGAATGATGCATGTGGACATCAGGGCATGAGATTGTAGGTAGGTTGTAATACAACTTTGGGGAGAAAGAATATGAAGATAAGAGTATTCAGGCCAGATGTGGACGATCTTCACTAGAGCTCGCCCTAAAATGAAGGTTGGACAGAGCCCTTGGAGACAGCAGTACCTGAGTCAGGAAGCTGAAGAAGAGTATAGAAGAAAAGCTGCTAAGCACTGTAGGTGTCCTACAATGTGACAGCTTGGGAATGAAGCAATTTTTCTATTGTGTGTAAATGTTGTCTTTAATCACCTTAATGTGCGGAAATAATTGATTAAATCAATTTTTAAAAAGTAATATTTTAGAACACTGGTAAAATATGCATATGTAAAATGTATAGGAAAATTATGAAAACCTTAACCATGCTATTTATTTAATGACAACTTCTTTACAAATGCTGCTGGTAAACAGATAATTAAAAATAACTTGCAAAGGTTAAAAACACCAAGCAGTTATAATATTAAACTAAAAATGGATCTACTATCACTCTTTGTAAACCGCAGGCTTTTTACACTGATGATAAAGAAATGTATCACTTACAGTCTTTTATTTATCTTTTTTTTGTAGTTACTATAGTATGTTTTTTATCCTTGCAAACTGTAAACAATCTTATGAACTCAAAGTTAAATACACATTGTTTAGTCAGAATATTTCTTTTCTAATATCACTTCAGGTTTTACAACAAGTGATGGAGGAACTGAGCTTGCTCTGTCTCGGAGGGGTTTTTGTGACATTAAGTAAAACTGACATACTTTTATCAGTTTCTGTGTCATTTTTCCAAAACAGCTGTTTCAAGAAATATCAACTGAGTTCACATAAAATATTTTGCCTTCTAGCTTCAGAAAGCAGCAGGTGGATCTTCCTTTGTCGGTGTGCTTTACTGTGAACATAAGAACTAGTGCCAATACTCCAAGGAAAAGAACAGTATCCTAGGGATTGGAGCCAATAATCTCATCTTATCCCCATTATTTAGGGAAGTAGAGAAAAGCTACACTCAAACCAGACAATAGTACAATATTCAATAAGCAGATAGTATTTTACCATACATACCAAGTACATATATCATTAAATAGCAACAGAACCATCTATCACTATGTTCCTAGATCTGACAGGGTCAGCCTTTGGGTATGCGTTCCTCCCTCCAGAAGCTTTGGATACTTGATTCTTAATGGTGTTCTACTGCCAAGAATTCTGCTTGCAAACTCCCAAGCCAGACAAAAGAGTTGCTTTCTAAAGTTCAATAATGTAAAAAGGTACTTACAGAAAGGATAAAGTTATAAGGTTCTATTACAAAAACTAGGGATAATTGCCCATTTAATTTAAGTAATCTCTGAATAATCAGTACAATGCAGTACAACACACTCAATTATATAAACCAGATTCATGTAATTTCCAAGCCTTCACAAATACAAAGTGTTATTTTATGTGGTCAGAAGCCAAGATGCAGAGCAAGTTGGGAAAGTTTGTTCCAAGAATTTCAGAGGAAACATATTCTCCAATTGCTGAAATGCAGTTTCTTGAGCACGTCCTGCTTATTCTCAAAATGCAAAGGAAAACGAACAGGTTTCAAACTACCTCAAAAAAAGTAGCCTACTTTTTAATATCAGCAGAAATACAAGCAAAATATATCTCCTTTTTCCAAAGAAAAGAGTAACCCAGTGTTCTCACATTTATAGCATTTTTGTAATGTTGTCAGTCGCATACCTTAATTACAGACTCTCTGTGGGTGAGTCAATTCACAGCAATTTTATTTAGCCTCTATATTTTAAGCTTATTGAATGAGAATGTCAAACATCAATTTTATATATGTCATTTAACAAGAAAATGAATACATAATGGACAAACAGACTTCCAAGAATTTACCTTGTCTAATTATCTGATACTCAAGATTCTCTGAGTGTTTGTTTTTTTTTTTAGAGCTACATCTCCTGCTGGGACAATAATTTAACACATTTTACACTAATTTACGTACTGACAAAGAGATGAACTGTTACCACGTGTGTAATGATAACTGCAGCAGGGTTGTTGAAGCATCTAGAGTGACCAACTCTACTTTCTTAGAAATTTTTTATAAATTCTGAATGAAGGCATCTGACTTTCAGGGTATTATTTTTTATTGTAAGATGAATTTGCCTTATTGATAAAGATAAACATGTACCACGTACGTTTACACTGAGTAGAAGCAAAATGTTGACGATTACTGAAAAATATAAAGCCCTTTATTTTAGTCATGTTGTTTTCACCATTGAAATGAGACAATCTGGGTGAAATAAAATTTCAGACAAGATTAAGGGCCCACTTTCTAGATATTAGACACTAACTTAAAATGGAGGACAGAGAGATCAGGATGTATGCATACTTTGCTACCACATTTATGGCATTACCTGCTACAAACCATTGAGATATACTTAGTTTTTCATAATAAACTCATTTAGTCTTACAGAATTATTTTGGTTTAATTTTACAAATTTGAAATCTCGAATCTCTAAATATATGAAGTGTTACTACTCTGCCAATTTTCCTAACACCATGGCTTGCTCTGTTTTGTACAGCTCTAACAGAGTACCACAGACTGGGTAATTTATGAACAACAGAAATGTATTTCTCACAGTTCTGGAGGCCAAAATAAAATAAAGGTACTGTTTGGTTTGGTGTCTGGTAAGGGCTTGGCCTCAGTCATCCAAGATGATGCCGCATCTTCCAGAGAGGAAGAACACTGCCCCTCACCTGTTAGAAGAGCAGAAGAGAGAGCCCTCTCCTGCAAGCCCTTTTTACAGTGGCATTAATCAATTCTTAAGGGTGAAGCTTTTATAACATAAACACCCTCATTAGGTCCAGCCTTCCAACATGGTTGCATTAGGGATGAAGTTTGCAATGCATGAGTCCTGGAGGGGACAAAGACAATCAAAGCATAGCACACTATTTGCCTGGGGATTGCTACACAAAGTTCCACTCAATAATTTTCTACTCATATGATAAATATTCACTAGTTACATATGTAGAGAGCATCTCTTAAGTGTCAAAAACTGTGCGAGAAAATGGGAAGTAAAGTGTTGAAAAAACAGTCACAATCCTTACTCTCAAAGATCAGACTCCTATCATCTTTTGTTTCAATTGCTCACACTTGCTTTTCTTTCGTCATATAGGTAGACAAATGACATCCTTCAGGATGCCTTCAAAAAGGGTATTTTGAGATTCGAATGTCAGAGAATGTAGAATGAATCATTTTTGAGGATGGATTTAAGAAAGTGTCTACCTGCTGTCCTGGAAACCACTCCTTCTTTCCAAATCTTGGTTGTTGTTTTTGTTGTTGTTTTTTCCTGCTTCTTTAAATCATTCAAAGCCGCCAGTCCATTTCCATCTCTTTATTCGCTTCTCAGACTTGGCTGTATGTGGCTTGGCTCCAAAAGTAGACAAACATTGAGTAACTTGCCAGGAACTATCTCAGCTACTACACTAGAGGAGCAAGTTTTTCTGCTGTGAGTGAGGTGCTAAGAATTAATATGAGAACTTCAAAAACAAAAAACAGTTTTGGAGTAGTGTGTTTGTTAGTGAGACGTCAGTAAAACCTGACTGTAGATTAGTAAAATTAATACAGGAAAGGGATAGACAAAAAGTGAAAATATAATAATGGTGGAATGAAGGAGAGTGGAAGACATGGATATTCTTACTACATGCAAATCACAGATAATACTTCTATAGAGATATATTTATAAAGGATATTATTGCAGTGATCTTATATTGCCCCCCAAATTGAGGGTTGTTTGTACTATTTAATCATGCATGCATAGAATATGTAGAATACCTACATATATACATATGATATATATCCATATACCTTTATATACCTACTTGTCAAGTAAAAATGAACATGGTAAGTTGCATTAACATTCACAAAGCTCCTTCAAAATACTTTGAAATAGCCAATTCTCGTAATTGTCCTTTCATGCTGTCAGATTTCACCCTGATGCAAGGACAGCATTTTCTAGCACCAAAAGAAAAATACTTGTCAAATGTTAAATCACAAGATTCAGGAGGCATCGAGCCATTATTTACAAAAACTTTCGAAAATGGGCTGCTTATTAGCCGGAAGTGGTGCTTTGAAGATGATTCAGACATAAACAGGGAGCCTGACATCATAACCTTCCCACTCCTTCAGAACATTGTGATTCTCTAATTATCAGAACGATGTCTTTGTTCATACCCCTTGGCTCTGCATCACTGCGAGAGTGTTAAACTCACTAACTCTACTATTTGCCAGATGGTACTCAGGGGCCATTTCCTAATTAACCTGGTTCTTAGCATGGTATTCATTCATGTTTGGTATTACTGACATTTTATCAGCAAAAACACATTTCCTACTTACACAGCTTATCAGCTGCATTTTAGTCAAACTGGTACAAGGATAATGTTCTTAACCTATAATGAAGGACTCATAACATTTTTTGGTACTTTCATTTTACTCTATTTAATTGCTGCAACGATAAGGCAAACAGTTTGAAGCTTTTATATTCTCAAGATCTAAATAACTTAGTTTATTAGTCATGAGCATTTTCTGTTTAAAACAAATTAATATTATTGAATGTTGAAATTATCACTCTTAAAATTGCATGGATAGTTTAATTTAGCTGAAATATAACAGTGAACAAGGGAGAGAGATCTGTCAAAAAATCAGCACTCCACAGAAGACAGTGTAGTTTAGTGGTCACATACTATGTGTCTTAGTCAAGTTATAAAACCACATTAAACCTTGTTTATAATTCTTCCAATAAGAATAACAATGCTTTTCTCACACAAACATTGATGGTATTAGTTGAAATTGTGCAGTTAAAATATTTAGTACAGTGTCAGGTACAATAGTAATTAATCAATAAATGATACAGGACAAATGTCCTAGAAAAAGAAATACAGAATCTTGTATTTGATCTATATCTCAAGTGAGAATTGCTTTCCAGAATTAACACGCAGGTAGGTCAGATCTCAGTTGGGTCATTTCGAAATAGAAGAAATGCCATGTATAACCCCCAAGTGCTACTGCACTATTCTTTCACAGAGATAAGTTAGAAAAACCCTGTGCAAGCAGAAGTTGTTTTTTTCCTGAACATTAGGAGGAGGATTTTGCAAGCCAGACACCTATCGGTTTTGATGCTGTCTCCCACCTCCCCAGGCATTTTCTCAAAATGACACAAGTACTCTTGCATAGTCAAAGGGGTCACTGGTGTTGTGCTCTACAAAACCTAATACCTGGAATCATTGTGCACTTTATAGAGAATAATGCACAGGAATCGCCTGTGAATACTTTTCAATAGGAATATACGGAATCTTGGAGTCAACATCACTGAAATTATCATAAATTACCTAATGGGACCCTCTATAGAGATTGTAGACTCTCTAACTACAGAATTGAAAAAATTAATTCTAACTATAGGTTTAGGTATCATAGAATATCTTTAACAAGAAAATCCCACACTATATTTTCTTAAAAGTACCACCTTTCCGAAGCATATACTCTAGTGCGAGTGTGCAGTACGTCACTAAGGGCTGTAATTAACAATCCACAAAGGCCTAGCTCTCCTTCCTGCACTGCTGGAACAGGCAGATGATATTTTAGAAATTTCCAGTCTTCAAGACAGAAAGTAATAATTCACCTGAACTGATTTATTTCAGATCAATGTCATTTTTCTAAATGTAGTTCAGTTACACATCTGTTTGTTGACATTGTAATTGAGCAACCACCAGACTATTATAAATGTAAGAATTTTTAATTTGATTTAAAAATAATTTTAGATTATTTTTATGGAATGCAGACTAAGTAACAGTGAATCATGTAGGAACTAAGGAGCACTTATGAAGATGCTGTGGAAGCCCTGCTGAGTTTTGCCTAAAATGTTTTCTTAGTCATTCACTGACAGATATTGGTCAGTCAATTAAATTATTCCTTATTCAGTGAGAAATACAACACACACACACACACACACACACACACACATCAGAATGTTCTTCATATTCAAGTATACTACTTGGTAAATAATTCCACAGGTGCCAATGACCATCACATATTATACTAGCACTGTCCAAATGCATGTGAATGACATACGGTGAATTGTTGTATGGTATAAAAGGAATGTATGGACTTTAAAGTCAGAATATTTTTATTTTTAATTTTAAGTTAGTTTCTTTGCTCTGTGACCTAGATGTTTACTTTATCTGGTATTGAGTTTCCTAATATGTACAACTCAGAAAATATTTCTAATAATGCCACTGTAATAATGGTCCAGGTACCAAACTTTATGAAAAAGACATAGAATGTTAATCTGAGTAACGGCCCCGAATGGATTAAAAATCCAACTGAAACAATATATATGGTGCTGGAAGACAATTTCTCTGCAGTATGGTGCTGCACTCACTTTTCAGTCTTACGCTATTTGTTTAAACATTTTCTTCATCCTTTCACCCCATGTGGGCCCCATATGTACACATCCATTTTCATCGTCACCTTCATTGGCTTTATGTCAGAGCCACCTATCTCTTCAGCACCACTCAGTATACATATATACATCTCTTCACATTCGTTTCACCATGGCTTACTCCTTTTACATAAGCCTGTCCGTTCTATCAGACAATAAAGGCCAGCATTCTAGCAAGCCTTGGCACTTGCCAGCCTCTCAATTTAAGGTTAAAAGTAGGTAGCTGACAAAAAGCACAATGATTCGGAAAACGTTTAAGAATCACACCATCTGGAATTGCTGGCAGATTGGCGTGAAGAGGTAAAGAAAAGAGAAAGATTGAGGAAGACTCTGTGGATTCAAAACTGTGTGGACGGTGACACTATTTACTGAAATGGGGAAAATCAGGAGACAAACAGGTCTGGAAGAGGGGGTGAAATTGGGAGCTATAGTCGAGACAGAGTAAGTTTGACAGGGCTAATGCATACGCAACTCGGAAAAGGTTTGCAGGAAAGAAAAGATTTACAGAACAAGCAAAGATGCTTTAGAAGTTAGCCTGAATAAAATTCATCAAGGTCTAGTATTGCAATTATTATCAGTGGATTCCTCATTCCTAAATAAAGGAAGATTTTGGACCCAAAGCTATACAGCTTATAGGAATCTAATATAATGCCAAAATTTGCTTATTTAAGCTGTCACTTACCAATTTTGTTTTATGAAAAAAATGTTTGTTTTTAAAATTATCACTGTTTTACTCATTTAATAAATATCTGTATTTCGCCTATTTGTCCAGGAGCTAAGAACTGGGAACAGAAAGATGCAACTCCTGCCTTCGTGGAGTATATTCCAGTAGAAGAGTCAGGAACAAACAGGTAAATACAGATAAAACAACCTGAAGAAAAAAAATTAGAAGATTGACATCGATAATACAGGAGGAAACATTCTTTGGTAATTTTAGAGAAGGCCTTTTTGTGGATTGTATTTGCACCGAAAAATAACAAATGAGAAGAAAATAGCCATTCAAATAGTGAGGTTTCATAGCATTTAAGGAGGAAGAAACACTATGCCAGTGGCCTTGAGTTGGCACAAAACTGATCATGATCAAAAAACTGAAAGAAAACCAAAGTGGCTTTACTGTATTTCAACAGGTTGCATGAATGCATAATTTAGGTGACACTGACTAGGAAAAAACTTAATATGAAATATGTAGGTACTTTAGGTAAATCATGTTAATTCTACAATTGATCTTAGCGAAAAGGCCAAGAAGCGATAATCATAGTTAATTCTAAAAGCAATGGATAGTCATTAAATAACTTTAAGCAAGAAAGCAGTACTTCCTCATGTGGGTTTTTTTTTAAATTATACTTTTAAGTTCTGAGGTACATGTGCAGAGTGTGCAGGTTTGTTATATAGATATACACATGCCATGGTGGTTTGCTGCATCCATCTCCCGTCATTTACATTAGGTATTTCTCCTAATGTTATCCCTCCCCAATCCCCCCATCCCTGCCATGCCTCTCCTAGTCCCCAACCCCTGACAGGCCCTGTGTATGATGTTCCCATCCCTGTGTCCATGTGTTCTCACTGTTCAAAATCCACTTATTAGTAAGAACATGTGGTGTTTGGTTTTCTGTTCTTACGTCAGTTTGCTGAGAATGATGATTTCCAGCTTCATCCATGTCCCTGCAAAGGACATAAACTCATCCTTTTTAATGGCTGCATAGTATTCCATGGTGTATATGTGCCCCGTTTTCTTTATGCAGTCTATCATTGATGGGCATTTGGGTTGGTTCCAAGTCTTTGCTATTGTAAACAGTGCCCCAATAAACATACATGTGCATGTGTCTTTATAAATGAATGTTTTATAATCTTTTGGGTATATAACCAATAATGAGATTGCTGGGTCAAATGGTATTTCTAGTTCTAGGTCCTTGAGGAATCACCATACTGACTTCCATAATGGTTGAACTAATTTACACTCCCACCAACAGTGTGAAAGTGTCCCTCTTTCTCCATATCCTCTCCAGCATCTGTCTCCTGATTTTTTAATGATTGCCATTCTAACTGGCGTGAGGTGATATCTCAATGTGATTTTGATTTGCATTTCTCTAATGAGCAGTGATGATGAGCTTTTTTCCATGTTTCTTGCCTGAATAAATGTCTTCTTTTGAAAATTGTCTGTTCATATTCTTCCCTCGCTTTTTGATGATATTGTTTGTTTTTTTCTTGTAAATTTATTTCTGTTCTTTGTAGATTCTGGATATTACCCCTTTGTCGGATGTGTAGATCGCAAAAATTTTTTCCCATTCTGTTGGTTGCCGGTTCACTCTAATGATAGTTTCTCTGGCTGTGCAGAAGCTCTTAAGTTTAATTAGATCCCATTTGTCTACTTTGGCTTTTGTTGCCATTGCTTTTGGTGTTTTAGTCATGAAGTCCTTGCCTATTGGGTTTAACATCTGTTTTGCACATATGTGGAGACTACTTTCAAAGATGGGAGGAGAGAAAGTGGGAAACCAGTTATTTTCAAATTATACTACCCATGACATATAGTATATATACTTCTATCATGCTATAGAGCTGTAGAATTGGCATACAATCATGCTAATTAATTTGATTAAATACATTATTTTCATATTGTTTATTACTTTTTCTTAAAACATACATAAAGTGGCCTTTGATAGAGAAAACTAATTAAGAATAGATGTGATTTTTTTTCTCACTAAACGTTTATTTCGTTTGAGAATGCCTCTTCTTTAGTTTGATAAAATAATGTTATCAACAATAGGTGTGCCCCATATAATTGTTTTCTTATTGTATGTAAGTTTGTGCCTCAATTTAAAAATTATTAACGTTATTAAGAAAATAATACTTGTGATATTTGCTGAATGGTCTTTTCTTTTTAATGATACTTTGAAAACTCGTGTATTCAGCAAATAGATCTCTGTTGCTTACTTAAAAATAGGTTAATATTAAGATATTAATCAAGACTTCATCCCAAGTATGAAGATGTTTTTCATTATTGTATTACTCAAGATATATCATGTATTAGAAGTTCAGTTCTAAAATGTAATATACTTGAACTTAACTATAGTGCTCATTACTAGCAACGCTTGGTTTAGACATGAATATTCCATTTCGGTTTCTCAGTAAATACTTTCTAGGCTGTCTACACTGATACAGGCAATCATTTGGTGCATTACAAATGATATAACATTCAAGGCACTGTTCTCTCCAGGTGCCCCTCTTCCAGATGTTAGTTCTAATTTAATAATATCATTTATTAAATAACACGAACTATTTTAATGTATGCAGGTTTCTTAAGTCTTGCCATTTGATTTGCTTTCATGATGAAAATCAGAAGTATTATGAAATAGTGGAGAAAGGATTATTGGAAGAGTTTATGTGAAAGAGGTTGCAAAGACAAGAGTCTGAAAATCTGTGTCTGTGGGGAAGCCACTTCCCAACATTTTCTTAATTGATTGATCAGTTAAATAAATACACACTTCAATATATATACTAATGCAGCAAGTGGTAATTTGGAGGATTTTTTAATGTTGTGTAATGGTAAATCATACAATGTACTTGCTATGGTCTAAAAACTGAAATGAATAAAATGAATATGCAGTAAAACCAAGAGTTGTTAGTGGTAGGGATAGGTGTCAAACAAAACGTCTCAAGGCAGTGAGAGCGCTTAGTAGTAAAAACTTTACCAGTCTTCTAAGCTAGACTGCCTGGATTTAGATCTTTGTTAGTGACAACTTAATGTCTCCACATTTCAGTTTACAAATCTATACAATAAATTTAATACTTGTACACAATTTCCCAAGGTTGGTGGGTGGCTAAACAAGTATTAATATGTTTAACATAAACAAGAACTGTATCTAATAAGTTCTATACATGTTTCAAATATTCTTACAGATCAGAAAGCCCTTACATCCTATTTAAGAAGTTTTATGCATTTCTTTAATCTGAATATTCCCGGATAGTAGCTGTGTGATGAATTCTGCTTATTTTGTTGTCTGCATGAGTTTCGTTGATGAGGGGAATGATTTATTCCAGTGTGCTGCTACTGCGTTGAATAATTATAGTGATATTGGGCATCATAATTATTCTTGACTTTAATGGAATTTTAATATTTCATCATTAAGTATTTTGTTTACAGAAATTTCAGGTAGATAATTTTCAGCAAGTTGAGAACATCTCTTTCCATTTATAGAAAATTAAGAGCTTTTTCTTTTTTCAATCAGAAATGAATATTCAGTTTTAACAATATCCCACTAGTAGGTCCACCTTTAAATCTCTCCAATGAGGATGACATTCTATTTATATACATCTTATTTACATATTCAGATACTATTCAATTCTATCTTATCCCCACTTAATAATTTTTTTCCACTTCTCCCACTGCAGTACTTTTCCACAGAAGAAGATTTTACTCCTCTGAATCACAGTACATGCTTTTAATCTTGCCAGAGTGTGACTAACACATTTTTTGTGAGTTTATGTAGCAGGAACTACAATTGCCAGGGAGATTAAAAAGGCACTCTTCCTGCAAATTTTGCTTTTTTCTCTGTGTGTGTGTGTGGGGGGGGGGGGGCCGGGGGGATGGGAAGCTCATAAATTTTACTCAAGCAAAATTTTTTTTAAAATGGTCAATTGGATAATTCATCTTCTGATCCACATTGTCTTGTCTACTCCATGTACCAAACACTAAGCCTTCTACTCACCAGCCAGCATCTGATGCTTCTCCTCTGAGAAAATATCCTAAGTGCCTGTGTTACTTAAAGGAAGACAATAGAAATAACAAAAACAATTCTGAATTTTACTTTTGTCGTCATTATATCTTTATCACATTTGTGGTCTTCGTAGCAGCAACAACCCAGAAGGGTAAAAACCTGGAAGTCAATACTGAACTCTTCTCTTTGTTAACTCTCACCAAGTCCACATCCCTTTGTCAGTACATGAGGAAGTTTGGTAATTTAACTCTAAAATTTATCCTGAATAGAATCACTTATTTCCCTTGTACTACCACTTCCTCCCAATCTGATCTATTTCATTTGTCAATTCCTCTCCACTCTCCCATATCCCACTTGGATTCCTGAAATAGAGCCAGCACTGGTCTCCTTTGTCACCTTCTCATCCTGTCTATACAGCAACCCAAGTCATTATTTTAAAATTACGCATCAGCTGAGGTCTAGCCAGCTTAAAGCTTCTCAGAAAGTCAAATATGGAATGTTCTGATTTATAAGTAAGATAAATAATATGCACACATGGACAACCAGCGTGCAATGATAGGTAAGGGAGACTTAGAAGGGTTGGAGGGGGTGAGGGATAATAAATTACTTGATGATCTACTTGATAAATGTAGATAAATTACTTGATAATAAATGTAGATAAATTGATAAATTACTTGAGTACAATGTAGGTTATTTGGTTGATGGTTACATTAAAAGTTCAGACTTCACCACTATGCCTTATATTTGTGTAACAACACTGCACTTTTACTCCTTAAATGTACACAAATGATAAGTAAAAACTTTTCTTACAGCTTATAAAGCATTTCATAACCTGACTTCTATGTAAATCTTCAACTTCATTTCTTGTTTCTCACATTCATTCAGTTTTAGTGACAATGTCAGTCAGTCTGTTTTTTCAACCTCAGGGAGCTAAGCATAGTCTTCGGTGTATTATGTCACCAAATTAAATTTGCTTTGTTACATTTTATTTTCTATTTTGTTTCCTTTACCCTGGTCTTACTCTTCGGCACAATCCCCTTACCCCCCGCTTCTTAGATGTTACACTTTCATCTGTTTTTAAACTTTTTAAACTTAATCTTATATATTTGAGAGCTGTTGATATTTATATTGGAATT